CGGGGGAGCCGGCTGATGAGGGCTTTAATGCTCTTTCAAAATTAAAAACCATGTTAAACCACATCCTACAAATACACCTCGTTTTCCCCAGGGCTGTTGGCTGGGCGCACATCCATGCCTGCAGATGCCACTCCCATGAGGGGGGCACGCAGGTCGGGGCTCAGCACCGAGCCTTCCTTCCCTTTCACCTCCGTGGGAAGCCAGAGTCCTGGCTGCAGCCCCCGTCCCAGACCAGAAGCTGCCATGGCCGGGATGGCCACATCGCCCACCAGGACTGCCCACAGAGGGGCAGGGGCAGGGGCGGGCAGAGAGCTGGGGGGGGCACAGGGCTTCAGGCTGCCCTCAGCCCCCGCTCTGGGATTGTCCACTTGCCTACAACTTCTCCCCCAACCAGCACTGTGAAAGCTTAGGAGTCCCAAGATCATAAACCAGCAGCCTCCCATCACCTTTATTTGGTGCCCAGGTCATTGAACAATGTATCTTTTTTAAAATTCACTGCTGGTGTTGAAAAAATCAGGGACCCTCACGCAGAAATCCAGCTTCCTGCCTTTTGTGGAAAAATCTCATCACCTAGATACCCCCGGCCTGCATGTCTTCCGGAGCTGAGCTGCAGCACCCGTCAGATGGTGGAGACCGTAGGCTGCCCCAGTCCCCACCACTCCCAACTGTCTTCCCAGACACCGCAGCTTGTCAGTTGCCCCTTATCATCACACTCAGGCTGTTGCTTCTCTTTTAGTCTAGTCAGGGGGAAAGAGGGGTACTTCTGGCCCATGTCTATTAAAAAGGGGAGGGGTAAAGGCAAATGAGAGCTGAGAGGGAGGGAACTAATTCTCTAGGAAGTTTAAACATCCCACATGTTTAAAATGCAAAGTGTTTGTGCCAAGAGAGCTGCTGACTTGCTTCCCTCACGCCCCACCTGCCCCGTGTAGGTGCGCACGTGTGCATCCCCGGCCCTGGCCCCCGGTGGTCCCTCCCAGACCGCTCCCCAGAGGTGGTTGCTCTTCCCTTCACCAAGAGGCTGTACAGAACCAATGACGGGGCTTCCAGGGGGCTCTGGAACCCCCTGCTTCCTGGAGGTGCATCAGGGGGAAAGAGGGAAAAGGCGAGGCCCGAAGCCCAGGCCCACCCAAACCCCCCCGGATGCTGGGATTCTGGGTACAACTCCATCTGAGCAAAGGCTCTGGGTTGGTTGTAAGTGACCCGACCCAGGTGGCGCAGCTGACAAGCAGTGGAGCAGGGAAGTTACACCCGACCCCTTGGGCCTCCACCCTGAGTGCTCTCTAGAGGCACGTGAAACTTTCTGGCCTTGGACACCCCCCCCGCCCCGTGTGGTCAAGTCCTAGTCACTGTGTTGTGTTTTTTTGAAAAGGTGGGAAATGTGTGACACTGTAGCCCACATTCTGAGCTCAGGAAGCACCAGCTCCCCCACCCATTAGTGGCATTGGCCGAAACTGATGGTTGGAGGCCAGCGTCGCCTGAGGCCCACGCTCCAGAACTTCAGGAGCCCACTCACCACCGTCCTGATTTCTTCCACTTCCTTGTTATGTCATTTAACATTATTTAAATCAACTCAGGCCTAACATCGGCCTTTCCCCTAAGGAAAAAGAAATTAGTACAAGTCATGGCGCTGATGAGCTATTGACATATTTAATACATGAAAATAAATAAATACATGATTTTTAAAATAAAAAGCCCACCCACATATCACCCAGATCCTCGTGTCCCCCTGGGGTCTGCACACCAGGGAAAACTCCTGAGGCCTCCGGACTTGGCTGGAAACTTATCCTGAGCAGGAAGTTTGGCTTGAGAAGGGGAGAAGGAACCCTCCGGCTTGGGGGAGGTGGAGAGCCCCCCTGGGGGGGCATCCCTGGGTTGGCACTGATACAGCGTGGGGCTATGACAGGACTAGAACAGGCACCTCAAGGGGTGGCCCTCAAATCCACATGGGAAGCAGGGAACAACTAGAGACTGTCAGGATAGAGGACGTCTCTGACCACCCTTGCTGTGTTTGCCACTATGAGCGCTTCTCCAATACCTGGCGGTCACCCCAGAAGCCCCTCACCTATGCCCCTGAAACTGTGCCCCTTGGTGATCCCATAGGCAAACCTGATGAAAGGACTAAGAAACTCATTTCCAAGGGGGCTTTGGTTTCTGGGTGGCCCCACCTCGCCGGGGCGTAGCTGGCACTGAAACACTGACTGACTGAGCCCTGGGAGTCACCAGGGGGCTCCGGAAGGTCACCCCCAATGGGGAAGGCCTGGGATCCCGAGGCCCACTTGTATGGGGGCCACTGGTGGGTGGGCAGCCAGTGCTGGGGACATCCAGGTGGGTGAGGGAGTGGGAACGCTCCCACCTCACAGGGCGTGGGCAGTCTAATCTCTCCAGGGACACCTTCCTCGAGACTGCCCCCACCCTGGGCTCTGCCTTCAAGGGACCAGCTTGGTGAATGGCACGCAGTGGGGTCTCCCTGGGGTGGGGCGAGTGGCCCCTAGGGGTAGCCGGGGGTGTCCAGAAGAGGGTGTGGAGTTTTGCAGCATCCCCCTTTGCCATCCTTGGGGTCTCGCAGCTGGCGCCCTCGGCTCGGGAGCCAAATAGTGACTCATCACAGTAAGAAGGAGTGTGACTGATCAGTCTGGCAAAGGGAAGAGAAACACAGTGAGCTGAGGGAGTGAACAAACCCTACACCCTTAACCCCCACCCGTAGCCCACCCTACCCCACCCCCGCCAGGCACCTGCAGCAGTAGATCCCCAAAGTCCCTGTCTCCAAGCCTGGCACCCACAGTGAGGACGCAGACCCCTCATATACTACTACGCCCATTTCTATTATTTTGCCCCTGCCAAGCATCCAGTCCCCCTATTCCAGGCTCAGAGAGGTCAAGGTGCTTGCCCAAGGTCACACAGCAGGGCTCTAATAGGAACCTAGGTGGCCACACTGAGTGCCGGGGTGCATCTCCCCATGCCGTTACCTGTATTTGTTCTTCTTCCTGGGTGTGAGGGTCGGGGTACTGCCCCTGGAGGAGGTGGTCTCACAGCTCCCATTGGCCCCTGAAGCCCGTGAAGCCCCTGGGCCCGCTCCTTTGGTTCTGTTTCGTTCCACCCAGGGTGGGTCAAAGTCTGGTGGTGGGGGCTGGGGGCCTGAAGGGCTGCCAAACAAAGTCTCATCCACGTAGGATGCCCTGGCCTTGACCAGACGGCCACCCCGGCAGCGGTGCTCGCGATGGAGGCTCTGCATCCCACTGATGGCCAGCTCCCCAGGGGTCTTCATGCTGCCTGTGGTCCCAGGTGACAGCAGCCATGCTCTGCCCACCGGGCCACGCCTCCAGGGCTCCCTGTGAAAGGGGGTCAGCGTGCCACCCCTCTGTCACTGGCAGTGTCACCGCAGAAAGACGGGCAGTCTCTTAAATCCCCATCCCAAGGGCAAAAGGGTCCTCCTCAAACCTCAGGGGACATTTCAGAAATCTGTTCGACTTCTGGTTGTCACAATGATGGAGAGAGGGGGTGCTACACACAAATACTTATTGAATATGCATTCTGAGCATACATTACTCAGTAAATATTTCTAGAATGCTAGGGGGATGAGGAGAGATGGGGCTTGTGTCCATTTTGGTACCAACCACAAAACAACCTATGGTGGGAGGGGGAAGGCAGGGCCGGTCCCCATGTCCTGTTTGTATTTATGAAGCAGGAAATAGCCAGTTTCAATCTCATGCCTACCTTGCGCAAAGAGCTTTAGAAGCATTGTCTCAGTCTTCTCATCAGTGCTGTGAAGCAGCTTTATGTCCATTCTACAGATGACAAACCTGAGGCTTCAAAAGGTGACGTCACGTGTAAGTCACACCTATAAAGCTAAAACAGAGGAAGCAGAATTTGAACCTGACAGGAGTCCAGAGCTTGTGCCCTTAAGCCTTCTGCTATAGGGGGACCACGGCCCCCACTGCCCCCACAACACGCCCGATCCGCAAGTCCATGTCCGAGGACCCTGCCTTCTTGAGTGACTTCCTACCTGGGCATCTTGGCTCCAGGACGTCGGCCGGAACGCTTAGCGCGCGCTCTCCGCCAGGTCTGGACTCCCCCGCGGGGGTGCTCGTGCGCCCCCAGCGCGCGCGGTGCATCCGTGAACCCAGTTTATCCGGGGCCGGAGTCCCAGGGTCCCGGATCCCCGCCGGGGCTCCGCGCGGACCGACTCCCCAGGACAGCCAGGCCCTAGCGACGTGCGCTCCGTGTGCCCCGCGCGCGTCAAACAGCAACGGGCCAGCCTGGCGTCAGGCGGCGCGGCCGGAACCATTCGCGCCTGGGGGAAGCCCCCAAGTCTAGACGCCCCCAGATTTCCCCAAAGCTTCGGAGAGGGGCCCGTCGCTCCAGGCAGGGCAGTGAGGGGGTCGGGGGGCGCCAAGCCTCTTGGGGCTGCCGAAGGGGAGGGAGCGCAGCCCGGGCCGCGCAGACGGGCGTCCCCCGACCCCGGCACGCCAGTGGTATGTCCCCACCGGCTCCGCCCCTTCCCGTTTCCCTGCGCCGGGTCCGCATGGCTACCGGAACGCGCCCGGCGGCCAGACCGCGGTCCCGCCCTGCCATGGCCCAGCGGAGGAAGAAGAAGGGGCTTCGGAAGCGCCGGGATGCGGCCTCCCAGGCCCGCAGCAGCGACTCGGAGGACGGCGAGTTTGAGATCCAGGCGGAAGATGACGCCCGGGCCCAGAAGGTAGGCGCGCGGGGCTGGGACGCGCGTCGGAGCCCAAGCCCCGGCTCCGTGCGGCGCCCCGCGGCCTCAGTTTCCCCAGCTGGGAAGTGGGCATTGCCAAGGGTGGGGAGAGGTCAGCTGCCAGGGGGTCGGGGGCAGGACCGCTGGCCTGAGCTCGTGCGTCGGGCCGGTCAAGCCCCGGGGCCGGACGGCCGGAGCCACCGCGTTCCCGAGGCTGGGCCTGCGGGCCTTCCTTGCCGGCTTTTGGTTGCGCGCCTCTCATTGGCTACCTCCGACTCAGGGGGCGGGTCCTAGTGCCCATTCGTCCAATGATAAGTGCAGGTGCTGAAGACCTGACTTGGAGAGTTTCGGGCGATTTTTGAGAGGTTGAATTAAGGGGAGGCCGGACCCGGTAGCTTGGGACCGTGATTCCCCCAAACCTCTGGGAAGCTAACAGTAATAAATTAAAGTTGGGTTTGTTGATCGCCTACTATGTCCCAGGCTCCGTGCTAAGAGCTTTGCCAGCCTTATCACATAATCTTCACACCCACCCTGCGAGCTAAGTATTGTCATNAGTTTCAATCTCATGCCTACCTTGCGCAAAGAGCTTTAGAAGCATTGTCTCAGTCTTCTCATCAGTGCTGTGAAGCAGCTTTATGTCCATTCTACAGATGACAAACCTGAGGCTTCAAAAGGTGACGTCACGTGTAAGTCACACCTATAAAGCTAAAACAGAGGAAGCAGAATTTGAACCTGACAGGAGTCCAGAGCTTGTGCCCTTAAGCCTTCTGCTATAGGGGGACCACGGCCCCCACTGCCCCCACAACACGCCCGATCCGCAAGTCCATGTCCGAGGACCCTGCCTTCTTGAGTGACTTCCTACCTGGGCATCTTGGCTCCAGGACGTCGGCCGGAACGCTTAGCGCGCGCTCTCCGCCAGGTCTGGACTCCCCCGCGGGGGTGCTCGTGCGCCCCCAGCGCGCGCGGTGCATCCGTGAACCCAGTTTATCCGGGGCCGGAGTCCCAGGGTCCCGGATCCCCGCCGGGGCTCCGCGCGGACCGACTCCCCAGGACAGCCAGGCCCTAGCGACGTGCGCTCCGTGTGCCCCGCGCGCGTCAAACAGCAACGGGCCAGCCTGGCGTCAGGCGGCGCGGCCGGAACCATTCGCGCCTGGGGGAAGCCCCCAAGTCTAGACGCCCCCAGATTTCCCCAAAGCTTCGGAGAGGGGCCCGTCGCTCCAGGCAGGGCAGTGGGGGGGTCGGGGGGCGCCAAGCCTCTTGGGGCTGCCGAAGGGGAGGGAGCGCAGCCCGGGCCGCGCAGACGGGCGTCCCCCGACCCCGGCACGCCAGTGGTATGTCCCCACCGGCTCCGCCCCTTCCCGTTTCCCTGCGCCGGGTCCGCATGGCTACCGGAACGCGCCCGGCGGCCAGACCGCGGTCCCGCCCTGCCATGGCCCAGCGGAGGAAGAAGAAGGGGCTTCGGAAGCGCCGGGATGCGGCCTCCCAGGCCCGCAGCAGCGACTCGGAGGACGGCGAGTTTGAGATCCAGGCGGAAGATGACGCCCGGGCCCAGAAGGTAGGCGCGCGGGGCTGGGACGCGCGTCGGAGCCCAAGCCCCGGCTCCGTGCGGCGCCCCGCGGCCTCAGTTTCCCCAGCTGGGAAGTGGGCATTGCCAAGGGTGGGGAGAGGTCAGCTGCCAGGGGGTCGGGGGCAGGACCGCTGGCCTGAGCTCGTGCGTCGGGCCGGTCAAGCCCCGGGGCCGGACGGCCGGAGCCACCGCGTTCCCGAGGCTGGGCCTGCGGGCCTTCCTTGCCGGCTTTTGGTTGCGCGCCTCTCATTGGCTACCTCCGACTCAGGGGGCGGGTCCTAGTGCCCATTCGTCCAATGATAAGTGCAGGTGCTGAAGACCTGACTTGGAGAGTTTCGGGCGATTTTTGAGAGGTTGAATTAAGGGGAGGCCGGACCCGGTAGCTTGGGACCGTGATTCCCCCAAACCTCTGGGAAGCTAACAGTAATAAATTAAAGTTGGGTTTGTTGATCGCCTACTATGTCCCAGGCTCCGTGCTAAGAGCTTTGCCAGCCTTATCACATAATCTTCACACCCACCCTGCGAGCTAAGTATTGTCATCCCATTTTCCAGAGGAGGAAACTGAGGCCTAGATTGGTAAAGGACCTTGACCAAGACCTCTCAGTTTGTGAGTGGGAGAGCCGGTGTCAAACCCCAGACTGTTTGGTTNTGAGGCCTAGATTGGTAAAGGACCTTGACCAAGACCTCTCAGTTTGTGAGTGGGAGAGCCGGTGTCAAACCCCAGGGCCTGGGCTCTTTCCATTGCTGAGTGCCAACTGTATGCAAATAGGGACCAGACCTTATCCCACTGTTTCCCCAGCCTAGCCAGTGCCTGGCACATAGTAGGTGCTCTGTAAATGTGGAGAGACTGCTAAAGGTAATGAACAGGAGGGCAGAAGACTAAGTGCCAAAGAGGAGCCCGCATAGGTGGTTGAGACCAAGGGGACTCTGCCCTGGCCCAGCCCTGTGTTCAAAATCTGGCCCAACCCTGTACAGGCTGTGGGATAATGGAGAAGTTGCTTAACCTCTCTGAGCCACATCTGTAGAAGAAGGCAGACGTTTCCAGTTGTGAGGAAGACTGATGATTATATGTGCCTCACAGGCTGTGGAAAGGATTGAATGACATGTTTATATATTTTATACTCACTCAGAATGCTGGGCACTGATGTGTTCCAGGGACTTTGTTGTTATGTGTCTAGAGCAGGAGTTGGCAAACGTTTCCTCCAAGGACCAGATGGTAAATATATTATTCCCTGCAGGGCTCTATAAGGTCACCGTCTTCTCTGATTTTTTGACAGTCGTTTAAAATGTATATGACTGCCTTGGCCAATGTGGCTCAGTTGGTTGACCCTGCACCAAGAAGAGGCAGGCACAAGAGAGACCAGAGTCAGATAGGGGTGATGGATCAGAAAGGGGATTGAGAAGAGGTGGGCAGGACAGCTGGGAGTACTTCACACATAGTAGATGTTTTGATTGGCTCTCTAGAGTTTTTCATTTCGAGGGCCTTGAATGACAGGCCAGGATGACAAATATGATATCACCATCTACGGGGCACTGTGAGGCATATGCACTTGCTATCCATTTTCCAGACATGGAAACACAGACTCAGGGAAGATTAAGTCCCTTGTGTGAGGTCGCCCAGCTGGTAAGTGACAGAATTAGGATTGAAACACAGGCAGTCTGTCTGCAGAGCCCGCCCTCTGCCCCTCCGCCCTGATCTGGCCCAGTCGGGGGAGAGCCCTGTAGCAGAGCAGTCATGTGTTCTGGTGGGAGAGTCATCAGCTAGAATGGGGCACAGATCAGTAACAGGACAGCCCCCCTCCCTGCCCCCAGTGATCTGATGGTGCCGAGTAATGCTGCCTCTCTGCTCCTCTCTTCCAGCTGGGACCTGGCAGACCCCTGCCCACCTTCCCCACCTCAGAATGCACCTCGGACGTGGAGCCGGACACGAGGGAGATGGTGCGAGCCCAGAACAAGAAGAAAAAAAAGTCAGGAGGCTTCCAGTCCATGGGTGGGTGAGCCAGGCTTTGGAGAGTTGGGGGAGTGGCAGCAGGGGGTCGTCCCGCCCTCCGAGCTCTGCTCTGGGCCCAGCACTGTGGTAGGTGCTGGGTAGACTGAGGCAACAGACATAGTCTCAAGGCCAGTCAGGGGCTTCTCGTGGGGGCAACAGGCAGGCCTGGCACAATGAGAGAGCAGTTAGAGCAGGACTCAGGGTGATGCTGGTGGACGAACGTTTGGGGATTTACTGCAGGACAACAGCATTTCAGAGCAGAGGGAGAAAGATTCAGTAGTCGGGTGGGATTGGAATACCCGGCTAGATGGAAATAAAGCTGAACTCTCATTCTTGCTTTTTACAAATCAGTAGCATCTGGAGCAAAGATTTAAATATTATGAGCATTTTTATAATCTCACAAAGGAAAAGAAGGCCTTTCTAAGTGCGCCTTGAGCACTGTTTGACTTTTTTCAATCAGACATGTGTATATGCCAAAAACACTGTAAACTAAGTTAAATTAAATGCTATATCAGAAGTATATGTGCAACCTATGGGATAGACGAAGGGTAAATGTCCCTCATATGCAAAGAGCTTTCACAAATCAATAAGAAAAAGACAGACACCCTGATGGAGACTTGAGTGAAGAACATGAAGTTAGCTCACAAAAGGAATCTAGACAGCTGATTAGTATATTAAAAATGTGCTAAAATTTATCAAAAATTGAAGAGAAAAAAGCACATAAAAATATTTACATGTGGCTGTTTTTTGTCTTTCTAAATCACAAAGACAGCTGACCAAAAAGCAGCTAAAACCATGGTGCATTCCTGTCTCGGGGCCTCCCACTGTCCTCGCATCTCCACAAGCCCAAGTCACATCCTATCTCCAAAGGCCAGCCCCTTCCCCTTTTAGTATCATGTGCATTTGTCAACACCCATGCCTGCATGTGTCCTGGGCCCTTGTCATGTAACACCCTTTTCTTCTAATTAAAAATTTCAAACATATAAAAAATAGAGTACAGTGAGTCTGCACCTACCCATCACCACGCTCCACC